GTGTCACTCTGTGTCACTGTTGATGTGTCACCCTGTGTCACTGTTGATGTGTCACTCTGTGTCATTGTTGATGTGTCACTCTGTGTCACTGTTGATGTGTCACTCTGTACCACTGCTGATGTGTCACTCTGTGTCACGTTGATGTGTCACTCTGTATCACTGCTGATGTGTCACTCTGTGTCACTGTTTATGTGTCACTCTGTGTCACTGTTGATGTGTCACTCTGTATCACTGCTGATGTGTCACTCTGTGTCACTGTTTATGTGTCACTCTGTATCACTGCTGATGTGTCACTCTGTATCACTGTTGATGTGTCACTCTGTGTCACTGCTGATGTGTCACTCTGTATCACTGTTGATGTGTCACTCTGTACCCCTGCTGATGTGTCACTCTGTGTCACTGTTGATGTGTCACTCTGTATCACTGTTGATGTGTCACTCTGTTTCACTGTTGATGTGTCACTCTGTGTCACTGCTGCTGTGTCACTCTGTGTCACTGTTGATGTGTCACTCTGTATCACTGTTGATGTGTCACTCTGTATCACTGTTGATGTGTCACTCTGTGTCACTGTTGATGTGTCACTTTGTGTCACTGCTGATGTGTCACTCTGTGTCACTGCTGATGTGTCACTCTGTGTCACTGCTGATGTGTCACTCTGTATCACTGTTGATGTGTCACTCTGTATCACTGTTGATGTGTCACTCTGTGTCACTGTTGATGTGTCACTTTGTGTCACTGCTGATGTGTCACTCTGTGTCACTGCTGATGTGTCACTCTGCATCACTGCTGATGTGTCACTTTGTGTCACTGTTGATGTGTCACTGTGTGTCACTGTTGATGTGTCACTCTGTACCACTGTTGATGTGTCACTCTGTGTCACTGTTGATGTGTCACTCTGTGTCACTGTTGATGTGTCACTTTGTGTCACTGATGATGCGTCACTCTGTGTCACTGTTGATGTGTCACTCCGTGTCACTGTTGATGTGTCACTCTGTGTCACTGATGATGTGTCACTCTGTATCACTGTTGATGTGTCACTCTGTGTCACTGTTGATGTGTCACTCTGTGTCACTGCTGCTGTGTCATTCTGTGTCACTGCTGCTGTGTCACTCTGTGTCACTGTTGATGTGTCACTCTGTATCACTGCTGCTGTGTCATTCTGTGTCACTGCTGCTGTGTCACTCTGTACCACTGATGATGTGTCACTCTGTATCACTGCTGCTGTGTCTGTGTCTCTCAGCCAGCAGTGGATCAACGCTGATCTTGTCTCGCCATGAAGTTGTCAATGTGTCCTCATCTGGTCCATGTACCAGTCTGTCTGTCTGTGCCTTCCCTCCTCCTCCTCGTCGTCCTTATGCACCTCCAGTCTATCGACAACAGCTGACATTTGACTTTCAACCCTTCCATCTGTCTGCCTATCTAAACATCACAACACTTCACACAGACACACACAGACACGCACACACACAGATACACACACAGACACACACACACAAAGACACACACAGACACACACACAAACACACAGACAGACACACACATATACACACACACAGACACACACACACAGACACAGACACACAAAGACAGACACACAAAGACCCACAACATACACAACACACACACAACACACACACACAACACACATCACAACACACACAACACATCACACACACAACATACACACAACATACACACAGCACAGACACAACATACACAACACACACAAAACACACACACAAACACAACATATACACACACACACAACACCACAACACAACACACCCCACAAACACAAGACAATAACGCAACAACACACAACCACACACAACAACAACACGTACAGCACACCCGCAACGCAATAACAACCCCACACATATAACACACCACAGTGCAACCCACACACTACACAACAACACACCCCACACACTACACAACAACACACCCACACACAACACAACACACAACGCAACAACCCACACAATACCACAACAAACAACACACACAACACCACCACGCACAATACCACACCACAAAACACAACGCAACAACCCACACACAACACCACAACACACAACACCACAACAACACACAAAACACCACAACACAACGCAACAACACACAACACATCCAACACAACACCACAACACACACAACAACACACCACACTACGCAACAACCCACACACCACAACTCCACAACAACAAACCAGACAACAACACACCACACAACACCACAACAACACACCACACACAAAACACCACAACAAAACACCCCACACAAAACACCACAACACACAACACTCCAACACAACACCACAACAACACCACACAACACCACAACAACAACACCACACAACATCCCAACGCAACACACAACACCACAACAACACACACAACACAACACACACAACACATCCAACACACAACACATCACATAACGCAACAACCCACACACAACACCACAACACACAACACCACAACACCATAACACCAACACACAACACCACAACACCACCACAACACAACACCACTACAACATCAACACAACACCACCACAACACAACACCACCACAACACCACCACAACACAACACCAACACAACACCAGACAACAACAACACCACCACAACACCACACAACACCACCACAATACCACCACAACACCACACAACACCACCACAACACAACACCACAACAACAACACCACAACAACAACACCACACACAACACCACACAACACAACACCACAACACAACAACACAACACAACACCACACCACCACAACACAACACCACACAACACCACCACAACACAACACCACACCACCACAACACCACCACAACACCACACAACACCACCACAACACCACACAACACCACCACAACACCACCACAACACAACACCACCACAACACCACACAACACCACCACAACACCACACAACACCACCACAACACCACACAACACCACCACAACACCACACAACACCACTACAACACCAGACAACACAACACCACAACACCACACAACACCACCACAACACCACACAACACCACTACAACACCAGACAACACAACACCACAACACAACACCACACAACACAACACAACACCACACAAGACCACAACACCACCACAACACAACACCACCACAACACCACCACAACACAACACCACCACATACTAACACAACACCACAACAACACCACACACCACACCACCACAACACAACACCACAACAACAACACCACCACAACACAACACACAACACCACAACACTATACCACAACACCAACACACAACACCACAACACCATAACACCAACACAAAACGACGACAACACCACAACACCACCACAACACAACACCACCACAACACCACCACAACACAACACCACACCACCACAACACCACCACAACACCACCACAACACCACCACAACATCAGACAACAACAACACCACCACAACACCACACAACACCACCACAACACAACACCACAACAACAACACCACACACAACACCACACAACACACCACCACAACACAACACCACACAACACCACCACAACACAACACCACCACAACACCACCACAACACCACCACAACACCACACAACACCACCACAACACCACACAACACTACCACAACACCACCACAACACAACACAACACCACCACAACACCACCACAACACCACACAACACAACACCACAACACACAACACCACACCACCACAACACAATACCACAACACCACACAATACCACCACAACACCGCACAACACCACCACAACACAACACCATACAACACCACCACAACACCACCACAACACCACACAACACCACACAACACCACCACAACACAACACCACAACACACAACACCACCACAACACAACACCACCACAACACAACACCACCACAACACAATATAACAACACACAACACCACAACCCACACAACACCACAACAACACCACACACAACACCACAACAACAACACCACAACACTACAACCCACACAACACCACCACATCACAACACCACCATCCACACACAACACAACACCATAACCCACACCCCACACACAACACCACAACACCACAACACACACACAACCCACACCACACCACAACCCACACACAACACAACACACAACACCACAACACACAACACAACACCACACACAACACCACCACACACAACAACAACACCACAACAATAACAACACCACGACCCACACACAACACCCCACACAACACAACACACAACACCACAACAACAACCCACACACAACAACAACACCACACCCCACACAACACCACAACAACACCACACAACACCACAACAACACCACACAACACCACAACACTACAACAACACACAACACCACACAACACACAACACCACACAACACCACAACCCACACACAACACAACACCACAACCCACACACAACACAACACCACAACCCACACACAACCCACACACAACACAACCCACACAACACCACAGCACACAACACAACACCACACACAACACCACAACAACAACACCACACCCCACACAACACCACACCCCACACACAACACACAACACCACCACAACAACACCACACACAACACAACACACAACGCCACACAACACCACAACACAACACTACCACAACACAACACCACCACACAACACCACAACACAACAACACACCCCACACACAACACCACACACACAACACCATAACAACACCACCACAACACAACATCACACCCCACACACAACACAACACCACAAACCCACAACACCACCACAACACAACACCACCACAACACCACACACAACACCACACACCACACAACAACACAGCAACAACACCCCACACACCACAACAACACCACACAACAACAACACCCCACACATCACAACACCACACAACAACACAACACCACAACACCCCACACAACAACACACCACCACAACAACAACACCACAACACCAACAACCTTACCCGATGTTGCTCCTGCAGCTCAAGGAGGATCAAGGGCCCCCTTCCCCCCCCCAGAGTTGATCACAGCGGCCGGTGACGGCAAATCTCGACTCTTCGATTTGAGATCAATAACCTCAGCGCCGCCCTTAGACAACGATTCCTGAGATTTGGGGTCATTTGTTTAACTCACGAAATCTCAACGAGGCCACACCATCATCATCGTCACCATCATCATCGTTATCACCATCACACCATCATCGTCACCATCATCACCATCACACCATCACCATCATCATCATCGTCACCATCATCATCACACTATCATCGTTATCACCATCACACCATCATCACCATCACACCATCATCATCACACCATCATCATCGTCATCACCATCACACCATCATCATCGTCGTCACCATCATCGTCACCATCATCATCGTTATCATCATCACACCACCATCACCATCACACCATCATCATCAGCCACATCATCATCACACCATCATCATCGTCATCACCATCACACCATCATCGTCACCATCATCACCATCACACCATCATCATCATCAGCCACATCATCATCGCAACACCACCACTCTCCCCTCCACTCTCTCCTCTCTCTCCACTCTCTTTCCACTCTCCTCACTCCCCTCTACTCTCTCTCCCCTCTCTCTCTCCACTCTCTCCCCTCTCTCTCTCCACTCTCTCCCCTCTCTCCACTCACTCCCCTCCACTCCTCTATCTGAACTCTATCTCCACTCTCCCCTCTCTCTCTCTCCACTCTCTCTCCTCACTCTCCCCCTCCTCTATCTCCACTCTCTCTCCCCTCTCTCTCTCTCCACTCTCTCCTCACTCTCCTCTCTCTCCCCTCTCTCTCTCCACTCTCTCTCCCCCTCCTCTCCCCATCCCCAGCTGAGCACTTCCACAAATTCCCGGCGCCTGTTGCCAGAGATGAGGGCACAGAAACCTCTGGGCGAGAGGAACAATCTGGAGATTTTATTATTGTGGCTTTTATTTATCTCTCTCTGACTATCTCCTTCTATCTCTCACTCTCTATCTCTCACTATCTCCCTGTATCTCTCTATCTCCCTATATCTCTCTGACTATCTCCCTCTATCTCTCTCTATATCTCTATCTCTCTCACTATCTCTCTCTATCTCTCTCACTATCTCCCTATATCTCTCTATCTCCCTATCTCTCTATCTCCCTCTATCTCCCTCTATCTCTATCTATCTATCACTATCTCCCTCTATCTCTCTATCTCTCTATCTCCCTCTATCTCGATCTCTCTCTATCTCTCTCACTTTCTCCCTCTATCTCTCTATCTCCCTCTATCTCTCTCTATCTCCCTCTATCTCTCTCTATCTCTCTATCTCTCTCTATCTCCCTCTATCTCTCTCTATCTCTCTCTATCTCTCCCTATCTCCCGGTATCTATCTCCCTCTATCTCTCTCTATCTCTCTATCATCTCTCTATCTCCCTCTATCTCTCTATATCTCTCTATCTCTCTCTATCTCTCCCTATCTCCCGGTATCTCTCTATCTCCCTCTATCTCTCTCGATCTCTCTCTATCTCTCTATCTCTCACTATCTCCCTCTATCTCTCTATCTCTCTCTATCTCTCCCTGTCTCTGTCTATCTCTCTCTATCTCTCACTATCTCTATATCTCTCACTATCTCTTCTATCTCTCACTATCTCTCTCACTATCTCTCACTATCTCTCTCACTATCTCTCACTATCTCTCTCTATCTCTCACTATCACCCTCTATCTCTCACTCTCTCTATCTCTCTCTATCTCCCTATCTCTATCTCTCTCTTCCTCTCATCCTTTCGACTGAAGATGTTATAAATATTGCTTGGATACGGTGGTGGTGGGGGTCTAATCTCATCCCGTGATCTATTTTTTTATTTTTGTTCTACCTACGTGGACTTTACCGATAGAGTATGGGTTTTCCTGCAGTCAATAAAGCTTCAAATCAAGATCTGAACACAGCTGTGGACCCATCATCAGTGCCCGACCCAATGACAGACAAATTCAGACCTCAGTGGTCACCCCGAGCCACTCATAAATCTCAACGTTCATCCTACAAAGTCCCATCACAAGGAGAGAAACACAAACACAAATAGACACTCGCAAACTGGTACACTCGCCACGACTACATTTGGTGTGTCTTAGGTCTCATCTCTCTCTCTCCCTTCTCGAGGCGTGCGTGTGCATGCGTGTGTGTGTGCGTGTGGACGGGTGTCCGGCAAAACAACCCCCTATCTCCTCGCGGTGCCGGACGGGCAACTCTGTCGTGGACAGTGCTGTGGGGGGAAGGCCAATTCAGATTGGTTCCTCCCCTCATGGCGTCTGTGACCACCACAGGGGCTAAACGGGGGGATCTGGACGGGTGCGAGGGGCTGGTAACCCCTCCACCTTCAAAAAATTACCACGAAACTACGACTTAAACTTAAATATGTAACAAATAAGCTTGTGCCGGAGGCCCCGGGGGGACAGGCGTCTATGACGTCTCCTGGCCAAACCCCAATTGGCGGAGCCAGGCGATTTAATCTCAACCCTCGGGGCTCCTCCAGAAACAATGAAAAGCCACTTCGTTTGGCCACGTGGAATGTTCGAACGCTCACTGCGGAGGAGAGGCTGCCACTCCTCTGTCGGGAGCTGGACCAGTACCGCCTGGATCTCTGTGGCATTCAGGAGGTCCGGTGGACCGGTTCTGGCTCCTGCCACCATGAGGGGTGGACAGTCCTCTACTCGGGGCAGCAGACTGCCAAACAACAGGGTGTGGCTCTTCTTTTGAACAAAATAATGAAGGGGGCGTGGGAGCGTGGCGGTGAGGTGTGGGAAGCTGTAAGACCCAGGTTACTTTGGGCTCGCCTTCCCATCAATCGGAGGCGAGGAGTGGTGGTCGTGGTTACTTATGCCCACACCGAAGATGAACATCCGTGGAGGGATGCAGGCAAAGCTGATGAGACAGATGCCTTCGATGACCTCCTGTCACAGGTGCTGGCTAAAGGGATAGAGTCATCTTGTTGGGTGACTTCAATGCCCGAGTTGGTCATGATGCTGGCACCTGGTCTGGAGTGATTGGAGGGCATGGGCCAGATCAGCTCAATAACAACGGTAGGAGGCTGCTAGATTTTTGTGCAGCCCATGGGCTTGTAATCACCAACACGCTGTTCTGGCATCGGCGCGTCCACACATCATGCATGCATGCTGGGAACAAGCAAAAACATCTGCTGAACTACATAGTGATGGACCAGCGGATGCGAGCCCATGTCCTTGACACCAAGACCTACCGTGGAGCTGATATGCCCTCTGACCATCGACTAGTCATCTGTAAGATGCGCCTGCCATTATTCCGCTCCGGTGGTGGGTGTACACCCAGGACCCCATTCCAACCTAAAGTAGCCTGGTCTCAGTGATCTGATGAAAGTTCCAACCGAGAATTTCATCATCGTCTGCGGCTGGGGTTGGCATCGTCCCCCACTCCTCCTGATGTCGAGGGTAAATGGGCGAGGTTTAGGACTGTCACTCATGCAGCTGCATTGGCTGCATTGGGTACGCGGTCCAGACCTCCGCAGAGACCCTGGCTGACAGAGGAGGTTTTCAGGATGGTTGAGAAAAAGCGACAGGCCCACTGTCATCGGCTACAGAATCCCACGTCAGAGAATGAGGAGGCTTACCGCAGCCTTCGCTCGGAGGTTCAGAGAGCCGTGAGGTGCTGCAAGGATGGGTGGTGGTCGCGGGTTGCTGAGGAGATGGAGTCTACCTCAGTGGCCCGCGATCATAAATTTCTATTTAACTCCATCAAAAAAGTAACCTGCAGCGCCACACCTATTACCATCATTAGGGGAAAAAACGGTGATCCAATCTTCGACCCCCAGGAACAGATTTGCAGATTTGCTGAGCATTTCTGTGAGGTCCTGGGGGAGGGAAAATCCCTCAGCCAGGAAAACATCGTGACACAAAGTGAGGATGACCCTGCTGAGGCTGCGGTGCCTCAAATATTGGAAGAAGTCACCCCCTGTGAGTGGCTGGCTGAAGTGCCATCTGTTGAGGAAGTACTGAAGGCGATCCGGAGTCTGAGACCAGGAAAGGCGGTGGGCAGAGATGATCTCCAAAGCGAATTTCTGAGGGAGGGTGGCGTTTGTGCACAGACTGCCCTATATGACATCATAACAACAGTCTGGACCACTGGACGGGTTCCGCAGTATTGGAAGGATGCCCTGGTGGTCCCCCTCTTTAAGAAGGGGGACCACACAGACTGTAACAACTACAGGGGCATCTCACTCCTCAGTGTGCCGGGAAAGGTCCTGGCAAGGATTATTCAACATTGCCTTGCCAGGCACGCTGAGGAGAGGCTTGCGAAGCCCCAATGCGGTTTCAGGAAAGGGCGGTCCTGCACAGATGCCATATTTTCTGTCCGTCTGCTACAGCAGAGGGGTAGGGAATTCCAGCAAGACCTACATCTCTGCTTTATTGACCTGATCAAGGGCTATGATACCATCAGTAGGCCTCGGCTCTGGGTTGTTCTTCGTGCTTTTGGAGTACCTGACCCTCTGCTCATGATCATTAAGGACCTTCATGATGGTGAGCGGACCCGGGTAAAACTACGTGGCCGGGAGTCAGAGCCATTCCCTGTACACCTTGGGGTGCGCCAGGGATGTCCTCTGGCTCCCACATTATTTAACATCTATTTTGACCACGTAGTTCGTGAAGCCTTCAATAGCTGTACTGGGGTAATCTCCATATGGTACAGATATAATGGGAGGCTGATCGATGCCCGGGTGCGGTCAAGGGACGGCTCCCTATTGCTCAACTACGTTATGTATGCCGATGATTTGGTAATAGCTACTCATTCAGGAGGAGGAGTTGGAGACGCTGCTGCTGAGACTGGAGCATGCCACTAAGAGATGGGGCCTTACCATCAGCCCCACCAAAAATAAGCACCTGCCTGGGTATTTAGTACCATCGGACACTCCACCCCCACAACTCCGAATCGGTGATGGGGCAGTTATGGAGAGAGTGGAGAGTTTCCCATACCTGGGCAGTGTGCTTATGACCAGCTCCAGTTTAACAGCAGAGGTCTCGCTCCGAATCGGTCGAGCGGCAATATCTTTTCATCGGTTGCCTAACGCTGTGTGGAAGCTACCTGGTCTGTCACTCCGCACTAAGCTTCAGGTCTTCTCGGCCACGGTCATTCCCTCCCTTCTCTACGCTTGCGAAACGTGGACCCCCCTAATAGAACATCTTCGCCGGTTAGAAACATTTAGGCTAGCCTGCCTACGATCCATGCTGGGTTTAACCAGGCAAGATTATGTGA